AGTCCAGTGCTTGGTAAAGGTTAAAGAGGGCCAGAGCCTAGATTACCACAGAGTAGAATAGTCTGGGAAGACTTTGTTTTTAGTGGCGAGATAGGACTTTGCCTGGCCCTTGAAATGGTATTTGGATGGGAGTTTTTATAGGATTCCAGCTGAGAGAAACTGAGAAGAAAAAAAAAAATGGAGAAAGGTAGTCAAGAGATAGAAATTTAAAATTTTTATTTGAAAAAAAATTTGAAAACTTAAAAAAAATAAAAATTTTATTTGAGGAACAGTAAGCAAATTATAGTTCCGTAAGATTGGAGGGCATATATGGTCACCAGGGGATTATCCTGTGTGCTTTATGTGTTTATATGTATTTAACTCTGTTTTGTATGTATTTAACTCTGGAGCAGAATAGTGCCCCTGCAGAATGCCCTGCAGCTGCAAGTGGATGTCATTTGATGGACAGCAGGTGAATTCTGCCCCTCGGGTAGCAGGAAATATATACTAAAGGCGTTCTGAAACCCTCAACCTCTTCCCATAAGTAAGAGGCTTGTCTGTAAAATGAGAAATCTACCCACAGCAAATGAACACTAGGTACTGCCAGTTTAGGTCTATTCATGAGTTTAGATCCTACAGAGGATCTTTGTTGAACAAGGTTATATGTGAAGAGATACATCTTTCTTCTTATTAGAATATTATTTCCTTTGTAGAAATCCTAAGTTTTCTACAAAGAAAATTAATACTCATTAAATAAAATTGTAATAAAAAAAAAAAGTCAAGGTCCCCAAATTTATTCATATGCCTCCTGTGTAGAAGTAGAGTCTATATACTCTCGCTTTGATTCTGGGCAAACTCTGTGACTGCAGTAAAGCCTAATGATACTACATGGCTTCCAAAGTTAAACTAGAAACTGTAACTCACACTTGATCCTCTTAGGATGCTTGTTTGGGTGGCACAGGGGATAGTTGCCATGTAAGAGGTCCAACTTCCCTGAGACAGGCATGCTGGAGAGGCACATGTCGATGCTCTGGTCAACAGCCCCGGCTAAGCCCTATCTGAGCCAGCAACAGTTTCCAACTACGTGAACAAAAGTTCCCAACCTAAGAGAGCCTTCAGAAGCCCAGCAGACATCTGACTGCAATCATGTGAAGACCCGAAGAGAGAACCACCAAGTTGACTCCTTCCCAAATTCCTCACCCACAAAATGGTGAGAAAAATAAAATAAAATGGTTGTTTTAATCTACGTTTGGGGGAAATTTATTCACAGCAAGAGGTAGGTACTTGGAACAAATGGGAAGGAAGCGGGAGGAAAGAGAGAGGAAAGGAGGGGAGTGAAGGAGGAAAGGGAGGCATGGAGGAGTCTGGAGGAAGAAGGGAAGGGGACTCCAAAGGACTGGGCAAGATAAGAGGGTGCCGGCCTTGAGAAGGGAGCCCCAGAGCAGGAAGCTTGGTCATCACAGCACATCAAAATCTGGACAGCCCCTCCGAGTAAGTTCATTATTCAGGATGACTTGTGTCAAGAGGCTCGTAAAGAGAGTCTGAGATCTATTTACTGTTGAGCAAGACCTTCCTTGACCTCATGTCTGAGTTTCTCCCTCTTTAAAATGGGCTAGTTAAACTGATGACTATTTCTGAAAATGCCATTAGCAAACGCCAACATTAGAATCACTTGCGGCGGTTGGGGCAGGGGGGAGTTGTATAAAATATGGGTCTCCTAGATCTAGGAAATTGTAATCTCTACGGGTAGAGTCCAAGAATCTGTATTTCAAGCAAGTATTACCAGTGACTTTAAAGTTTCAGAACCTGTGGATTGAATGATATTTAAGAGCCAATCCATCAGTGCAGAAAAAAAAATTAAAGCTTAAGAAGTCTATTGGTTTTTTTGCTCCCGGTGTAGAAAGAGAAGGGGAGAAAATGTTAGAATCATTGAAAGTGGGGGCCAATTAAGGCAGGGTCATGCTGAAGATCCCCCTCCCCCAAAACACTGCTAGTTTCGTGGTTTTGCAGCCAAGTGGTCCCCGTGTGTGGTGTCCCTTCATTTATATTGCCCTTGCCTCTACATCTCTATGAGAGCTAGTCTGTTCTCCTGGGAGGTCTGTCTCAGTCTTGTGTATCTTTATAATCCAGACCAAATTACCCACGAGTCATCGTTGGTCTGCATCCTGTGGGAAGAGCATGTATCTGGGAATAAAGAGATCCAAATCCGAATCCCAACTTTGCCCCTGGTTGAACATATGACCTGGTTGGGACGGGGTAGGGTGGAGGAATGTTCCTCCCAGGACCTCAGTTTCCCATCCATCAGTTGCAAGTGATGGACTAATGAAGTCAAAAGAGTACTTCTAAGTCTGAGAAGGTATGGCAGCTCAGGA